GATGGGATAGTCATTCTCATGATTAAGCTGTGTTGTATGATTCCCTCTTAGTAAACCGAACAGAAAAATTTGCCTGCTGGCCTAGAAGTATGCAGTCATATTATGACAGGGACATACGGCAAGGAACTGCATGTGGTCCCTAGGAACTGACAGCAGCTCCTGGCTGACAGCCATCTAGATAATGAGGACCTTGGTCTTACAACTGCAAGGAAATGAACTTGCAATATGATCTTGAGCTACAGAAAGATTGAAACACCTTGATTTTAGCCTTGGGAGACCTTTAGCAGGGGAGTCAACTAAACAGTGCCTGGACGTGCTCATCCCACATAAACTGAGATAATTAGTATGCGAAGCTGAGTTTTAATCAGCTACATTTTTGGTAATTTGTTTGCAAAAAAGAAAACTAATACAAATAGTAACATGCTAATATTCTTGTGCTAAAATCATCTCATACTTAAAAGAAATGTTGGTTGTTAGGTAATGAAAGCCATTTTAATTTTGCAGGAGTTCAGGGTCTTTGCCAACTCTCTAGAAATATGTTTTATAACTAAAACTCTGTTTCTTATTGTCTGAGCATCTATATTAAACACATAATTTCCACTTTCTTTGAGATGTAAGATCAGAGGTAGCCATAAACCTGAGGCAGTTTATATTTGTAGCTCATGTTACTATTTAAAAACTACTCTGAGACTTTTGAGAGAATAGGAGCAGAGGTATTCATTTTATTCTCCATGAAATCCCCCAATAAAAACAAAGCAATCAAGTAGGATGCAAAATCAAAAGCTCATTGACAATGCCTACAGCAAAAAAATAAATAATTTAGGTTTTCTCTCTGCTATTCTAAGAAAACTCTTCTTTCAGCACATATTCAGTAAATATGTCCTTCCCCATATTTACTTTCTTTAACCACTCTCTTTCTTTCTTTCTTTTTTTTTTTTTTTTTTTTTTGACACACAGTCTTGCTCTTGTCGCCCAGGCTGGAGTACAATGCCAAGATCTTAGCTCACTGTGACCTTCACCCCTTAGGGTATTCTTCTGCCTCAGCCTCCCAAATAGCTGGGATTACAGGTGCCTGCCACCACAACTGGCTAATTTTCGTATTTTTAGTAGAGGCAGGGTTTCACCATGTTGGCCAGGCTGGTCTCTAACTCCTGACCTCAGGCAATCTGCCTGTCTCAGCCTCCCAAAATGCTGGAATTACAGGTGTGAGCCACCATGCCCAGCCATGACTCTATTTCTTGATTAAATTGATATTAATGCATTTATTGTATCACTATCCAATAATCTCCTTTCTTATTACTTATCCCCTTATTAAAACTGTACCATTGATAATATTAACTATCATTTAAAAACTTTTCTTAATGTAATTCTGATTTTGCACTAACCTGATTTGCCTTATATCTAATCTTTCTTTGACTGCTCATTCTCTGTTTATATTGATACTCCCTAGACATTCTACCAGCACCTAAATAATGGCACTTTTCAAGTTATTTTGGGAAAGTGAGAGTGAGAGAAGACAAGAGAGCAGAATGAGAAAGAGAGAGAAGAAAGACTTTTTCAGAGGAGACTATTAACTGCTCCCCAGGGTTTAATAATTCAATCTATTCTGATAACACCCTCTCCTGCCTCCAGACTCAATCACTGAAATCACCGTAAGTGAAAATGAAAAAATTAAAACAGAAATGCTGGATATCTGTTAGGGTCTTACAAAAACCTACCCACTTCCATAGCTCTCTCTTGCTGTTAAGAACTTTGCATTTCTTCCCAATCAGCAAGAAATAAAATTAGAATTGCTTTTTAATTCCCTTTAATCTTTGACATCAGATAAAATGCTGAGTTATAGAAACTCTCCTGCTGAGCAGCTTTTTACTTGAGTTCAACACTTCCTTTTCTTTGCTATTGCAACAAGTGTTAAATACCTTTATGATCTCTCATAAAGATCATGTAATAGCCTCCTTAAATTGCTCTCTACTTTTCATCCCTCCCTGCTTGAATCAATCTTAAATATTATGAATGTCCTGTCAATCAAATACTCTGTTCAAAAGTCCTTCACAGTCTCTATGCTGTCTTTAGAATAACACAGAAGGACAATGTCTAGTATTAAAATCTTCCACCAACTTGTCCCAGCTTGATCTCCTGCTGTTCTCTAAGGAACATAAATGTCAACAAACTGATTCCATACATCCCTGCTCTTAGCTGCTTAAAGTATTCTCCTTGCTTAAATGATTTGTAACTTTTCATTCCCTCATGTAAAACCTCATTAAGCCTTTAATTGGTGTTTTGGGGATAAATCTCATATTGCTTTTATTATGGGATGGTCACCAGTTCCTCTTGTGACATATAAATATATATTTTTTCAAAATATATCATATCTGATATTTGGATAATTATTTCAATCATATAAACATTCAAGTGTTAGAATTTGAAATAATATTCAGTCATAATTAAAGATTCTAACGTGACTCAAATATTTCAATAATTATTATTATTTAGATAATTATGTGAGATAAAATTATTGAATATCATGTGCATGAAGTTGAAGTACACCAAGTTCCTGTTCTGCTAATGATAATGTATCTTATATTGGACAAATCTTCCAAAGAAAATAACAATAAACTATATATATATATGTATATATATATTTATTTATTAAAAAAAAATACTGCTTGAAGACACCGGAGGTCAATTAAGAATAGACAAAGACTAGACAGATTTTTCACTTGAAGAAACCCCTTAATTCATGTGGAAAGGAATGGCTAGAACCAAGCAGAAAAGTGAGGGGTGATATCTAGAAGCTATGGTATGTACCCTTATAAATCATCTTCAAAAATCCCTGTCCGACACCTGAACTGTATGTGCAAGCAAATAAAAGGCAGTGACTGGAAAGGTGAAAAAAGTGGCTACTGCCCATTGTAAGTTTACATGGACTAATACACCTTTCAAGTAAATGCTGTTCTGTATGGGACAGCCAATGGGGTGCGCTTAATAGCACATTGGAGATGTCAGGAGAAAGAGTACACTAATTTGAATATAAATCAATTGAATTTTTCCAATCTGAAAAGTAGAGAAAAAAAAAATTGAATAAACATGTGCTGTATGTCTTAGGTCAATGCCTAGAAGTATAACAAATATATATATATATGAAATTATATATACACAATTATATGTATGCATATATATTTTATATATATATGCCATATGTAATATATATATTTTGAAATCTCTGAAGGAGAGGCATGGGTAAATGGAGAAATATTACTTCAAGAAATAATGGCCAAAAGTTACCAAATTAGATGAAAAAAATAACATTATGTATCCAAGAATTTCAGTATCCTAAGAAATACAGATACTGAACCCTCCCACTGCTACGCACCTAAAGTTCACACTACAGAAACTGTTGAAAAGCAATGGCAAAGACAAAATCCTAAAAGATAAAGCTATTTTAAAAAGAAAATATCAATAGGAATAAAGCTTTACTTTATATTAGAAAGAGATTAGAAGACAAAGCAGTTTTGAGATGCTGAAAGAAGAAAACAAAACCAAAGCAACTATTAACCCAGAATTCTATAACCAAGGAAAATTCTTTAAAAATAAAGGTGAAACATAAGCATCTTCAAATAAATGAAACTGATTTTGCTGCTAGAAGATTTGCACTACAAGAGGCATATATTCTGATTGTATATACATACACACATGTATATACATATGTATACTTTGTATGTTTATATACATGTATATATTCTGACCTTGCAGTGGCCTGATTTACCTTCTGTCTAAAGTTCTTCTATTATATCTACATTGTTTATTTAAAATAATTCAATAAATACTATATGATGTATTTGTGCATGTTACTTAATTTAATCTATAATTAGGGGTGGTTAGTTAACATTTAGAATATGCAAATCATAAACGCTCCCTACATAGATAGTTAACAGCTGAAGTAGTTAAATCACAGGCAATTTCCAGGGGCAGCTATTAAGAACTTCAAATACTTTGAATTATATTTGCACCTGAGTGTTAATTAGTATAAGGAATATCAGAAATAATATTTTAGTAGTGAAACTACTTTTGTATGTGGTGGCTTGAAATATTAATATTTTATGGCCACTGCTGCTCTTTCATAAGTGGAATATAAGAATCATGAGTCCAGCTGCTTAACAACAGAATATCTAGACCTCTATTTTATCTGTGCCTTGTCGTAATGTAGGACTCTGCCTTCCAATGTAGATGAAAAATAATAGATTCTATATGAGCATATTGTTTCATATGCTTCAAGGTAAAATGGTGATATAGAGTGCTTCAAAATGTACCTAAAATTAATGAGAGTTGGGATTCGCCCAGCTTACAGGAATAGGTTATAGGACTTATCTTTGAGCCTGCTCGCTGGTAAATATTATATGTGTGGCAGGATTCAGTTGGGATTTGCTTTTATTATGCACTATCACCTAGTGGCAAAATCTTAGCGGGAGATGTATAACTGGCACCAAGTAATATTTATCTTAACTCTGTTTGAAATCTTCCTTTCTCCTGTATTCCTTACCTCACCTGACTATGAGAAAGTAATTACAGAATCGAAAAGTCTTTTCATGTTCCTTGTAAAATATTATATTTATGTAAATTATACACACACGCACACACACACATACACACACACACACACACACATACATATATACATATTCCAGTCTGGTGGCTAAACTAATGAAAATATTAATATAATAAAGAACACAGTTTGATATTAAGAGATGTTCTTAAGTGGACAAATTAAGCAAATAAAATTGTTCGGTGAATGAGTACATAGAGAATTAATTGGTTCATAGATTTTGTACCTGACAATAATTTTAAAGACCAAGAAAGATTATTTCTCTGTCTCAAGCAAACTGATTCAGTACATCACAAATGCTTTTATCTTTCTTGGGAAGAAATGCTACAGTCTTTCTTTGAGAACAAGGTTGTCTTAAGCATTGTTTTTATTGATAGCAATGAATGAAACATCTTACCTCCAAATGATATCCAACTCTGATAAAGGCACAAAGTGGCTCAAAACCTCCAGTACTACAGGTCAGAAGGTGTGTCTTATTATAGTGATGCAAAACCCGAACATAATTTGCACATTCACCCTAAAGCAGGAAGAAAAAGAAAATAATCTATTAGTATAATAAACATGTTTAGCCCTTTTTGATGTTTGTTTTTCCTAGACCTAAAAATCTCATGTTTTACCACACATTTCTGTTGAGTAAAGGAAGCAAGAGGGGTAGACAAAAAGAGGACAAGAACTTGGAAAAGAACCTGGGGTGACTGAAACTTATTTAAGTTAGCAGTGATGTATAAATTACATTTTATAATTAGAGTGCATTATTTTTCATGTATCCTAGTTTGCAATTGAGGAATAAAAAAGCACTATTCAGAAATGTTTTCACGTGTAAAAATTTGCATGGCAATATGTTCCACCAACGAAGTTATTCCCAATGCCGTTTTTTAAGTACAGTATAAACAATGAATCAGCATAAAGTCATTAAAACTAATAATTAGAAAAAGCATAGTTATTTATACACAAACATGCAGTCTTTTTTTTTTTCTTTTTTTTTTTCCCCACCACAGGGTCTCACTTGTTTGCCCAGGCTGGAATGTAGTTGTGTGACCTTGGCTCACTGTGGCCTTGCCTTCCAGGGATCAAGTAATCCTCCTACCCCAGCCTCTGGAGTAGTTGGAACTACAGGCATGTGCCACCATGCCCGGCTGATCTTTTTGTATCTTTTGTTGAGATGGGGTTGTTCAATGTTGCCCAGGCTAGTCTCAAACTCTTGGGCTCAAGCCATCTGCCTGTCTCAGCCTCCCAAAACATGCAGTCTTTAGAGCAAACAAAACGTTAATGTTTTGGAAAGTAAGTCTTATATTCTCATACTCACAAATTCACATAAAGCACTTTCAAAGAGAATTTTTAAACAATAAAAATAACATTTTGTTTTAAGACTATGATAAGATTACTATATTTATTGTAAGACTATAAGACTACGATAAAATTACTATATTACTATATATTATATATATTACATACTATTGTGACTGACACAATAGTATGCTCTTGGCAAGAAGTGCACTATTGACCTGATTATCCAAGGCACACAGGTATATTTATTTCTTCAAGTTTGCATTCACGTGTTATGTTTTGGGTGATCCATATATTTGGTAGAATCTGATCATTCAGGCATGGTGAAAATATCTGTCGTTTATTTCTATAAGCACCTGCTTTTCCTCCCTTGACTCACCATCACATCTGAGAGTGAGCCTATGAGTCCATATTTTGGCTCAGCTGAACTTAGATTGACATGGCCTAAGAGTATGTTGAATTAGTCAGCATCACGCTGTGGGCTAAGGCAACAGGAATGTGTTGACTCACTCCTTGGCTGTGACCCAGCTGCTACAGAGAATGAGGAGTTGGCATAATGTGTGTTAGTCATTTACAGAGTATTCTTTTTTCTTACTGAAAAAAAAAAAAAGATAATTTCACTTTCACAGGCAGATGTCCAGGCCTTCCTCCAGGGTGCATTTGTGTCACAAGATCAGCTAGCCACCGCCTGCAAGTGAAAGTCCTATCAGGGACGTCTTAGTGTGTTAGGGACTGTGTCGGGGATGCTGATACACAGCATTTTGCCACTCACACACAGCAGGGAGACCACAAAAAGAGAGAATATTGCTTCTTAAAGTAGAAGAGACCCTGAAAACATTTAAGAATAGATAAAATGTGTTTTTTGCCTCTCTCAAACTTTTTGTTCTTTTTTTGTTTCTTCATTCACTTCTAATTTGCTAAACAACATAAGATGAAATCTCACAAAGAATGTGCTTAACTATTCCCAGAAAAAGTTATCTGCAATTATTTTTCTGCCAAATACATGGGAAATAAGCATTAGCGTAAGGAATTTATAAACCCAGGTTAAGATATTAAAAAACAAAATAAAAATCAAAATCTCAGTGGCATCTCTGCTTTCTTTAACTGCATTGAAATTAATTTTACATAATTATGTGTTTTATATGATATACATACTTTCTTCATGAACCAAATTGCATACATGCTTTTTTTATAAGAGCAAATAAAAATTCAGTGATTCAGTTCTAGTGATATAATTGATGATTTGTTTAATTTACAATGAATAATACTTACCACATCTTTTCCTTTCATCATGCATTCTTCTATTTTTAGAGCTGTATTAGGCCAGTGTATCTAAAACAAAAGATAATGTACTATTATGGCAACTGCATATAAAAATAAACCACACTGAAAACCATTTCTCTCTTTTACAGTTCAAAACATTTCCATTTTGTTCATTTTCTGGGGCTTTATTTTGTTCATGTTATCACTAGGCTTTTACTTTATGATCAACCTTTTTTTAAAAAAAAGTATTTTTTAAGGCTCACCTCAAGTCTTGCCCCTTCAGAGATCAGCCATGACTTAACCAACCCTTTCCCATCTTAAACCTGACTGCTCCTCCAATTCAGGGACTTCCTGCAGTTTCTTGTTTTTACTACTTACCACAGAACTTGCTGTGAGGTGGGCTCTCCCTAATGTTTGCTGCATACAATGATTAAGGGATGAATGACTCATTAAATGCTGACTTATAATGTATCACCCAGTAATACGCCACACTGTATCTTCGATTTTTTTTTTTTTTTTTTGAGACAGACTCTCACTCACCCAGGCTGGAGTGCAGTGGCACGATCTCAGCTCACTGCAACTCCCGCCTCCCAGGTTCAAGCAATTCTCCTGCCTTTACCTCCTAAGTAGCTGGGATTATAGGCACGTGCCCCCGTGCCTGGCTAATTTTTGTATTTTTAGTAAAGATGGGGGTTTCACCATGTTGATAGGCCCGGCGCCGTGGCTCACGCCTATAATCCTAGCACTCTGGGGGGCTGAGGCCGGCGGATCACGAGGTCTTTGATTATTTTTTTAAAAACATTGTTTAACTCTACCAGGTTCCAGCTGGATTTCAGAAAGTTTGCATTGTATTTTGTTTGATTATTCTCTAACAAGGAGAATATGTCAAATCTTTCTTTTTCACCTCTAATAGTATCTAGCACGTTGCTGAGACCATAGGCAGAAATCAATTATACTTGTTAACTGGTTCCACGCATTTCTAATTGCAAAACTTAATTTTTTTGAAACAAATTGTTTTCTTTATCACTTTTTCCTTTTCTTTTCTCAGACTCCTTTTGGTCCTCTTTTTGCTTACTCTGTAAAATTGTACTATGTGTCAAGCATAGTGTTAAGAACTTTATTTTTTCCTTCACAACTTATGTGCAGAGGTTTGGGTTTGTTATACCACTAAATTCATGATTCGTTTTCACCAACACTCTTAAAATGTCCCTCTTTTATTTTAGTTAATTATTTATTTCCTTTTCCCCACTCCATGTTTTATTTCCATCTCCCCAGGAGGCAACTATTATATCCTGTTACTGGGTACCTTATTTGTTTGTATGTATTCTTATAAAGTGTATATTATTTTTTGTGCATATATTTCTAATTTATGTAAACAGTATTGAATTTAAATCTCATCTCTTTCCTGCCTTTTTGACTTAAGAACTGGGTTTTTGAGGTCCCTCAATAGTCCTATGCACACATATAGCCTGCTATTTCTGAATGTTTTATAATGTTAAGGTGTGGATCCCCCACATTTTCTTATCAACTCTCCCAGTGATGGATGCCCAGATTGCTTCCAAGTCTCTATCACATCAAATTGTTACCTTATTGTACATGACCTTTTCAGATCTGTGTAGGAATATCGTTGGTATGTGTACCCAAGAGAAGAATTACTGGGTCCTAGGGCAAGTAAGTATTGCATCTGTAAATGTAGTACCAGATTTCTCTCCAAAATGACTACAAGTCTATACCAGCAATCCATACCCCCATGCCCTCGCTTGGCATTATCTACTTTTCCAATTTTTGTGCCAAGTGCTTTAAATACAATATGTAATTTAATCCTTACTACAACTTTATCAAAGAGATGCTTTTAGGGAAATTCTTTCAAAAATTCATATTTATCTGTGCAATCCCACATCTCAATAAATATACGGGTTTATTGCAGATAAAACAAAGGAATGTGATCCATTCAAGTAACTGTAGCAACTGCTCAGTTCCCAAAACTTTTTTGTGCCTCAAGAGCTTAAGTCTCCTAGTTAATATTATCACCACATCTGCTGGATCAATCAACTTTACTCACCAAAATGAAGAAGCTTAGTCCACGTCCTTTTTTAAGTTTTCCCAGAATTCCAGGGGAGCACCATCTCATGCTACTGTATCAATTTTATGGGCTCACTTGGTCAGATGATGATGGATTTTATCTTTGAGGGATGTTGGTTCTCACCAAAACACTGCAGTAATTGCCTCCATTGAAGCCACGTGATATGATTAGGCTATGTGTCTCCAGCCAAATCTCATCTTGAATTTTATCCCCATAATTCCCATTTATCAAGAGAGAAACCAGGTGGAGGTAATTGAATCATGGAAGCAGTTTCCCCCATGCCATTCTCGTGTTAGTGAGTGAGTGCTCACAAGATCTGATGGTTTCCTAAGAGGCTCTTCCACCATGGCTCAGCACTTCTCCTTCCTGCTACCTTGTGAAGAAGGTGCTCAACTTCCCCTTCACCTTCCACCATGAGTGTATGTTTTCTGAGGCCTCCCTGCTCATGCTGAACTATGAGTCAATTAAACATCTCTCCTTTATAAATTATCCAGTATCAGTAGTTCTTTATAGCAGTATGAAAATGGACTAATAATACACCAGGCCACCTAAGAATTTTTCTGATTCCCTTCTCTTTTGTAGGAAATCACTTTTCATTGTCAAGTGAACATTTTGTTGAAGGAGTTAAAATAGCACAGCCAAGTAGCATTAACACTTTTACAGGCTCAAGATATTAACACTTTTACAAACCACCTCTTTCTCCTCAGGATGCTTAAGAGTCTTCAGAGGCCTTGGTTGAGAAGGATTCAGGTACAGCCTTTTCCAGTCCAGCATCAATGTTCAGTGCTGTTAGACTATATTGCTAGGTCTATGACGGTAAGACAGACTCCTCCTGTATATAGCAGTTTGTTTGTTCCCTTAAAGCCTCTATTATCTTATGCCTCCCCTTCCTCTATCCATCACCATGCCAGCTTATGCTCTGTCAGCCTGGAAAGACATTCTGATTATAGAACAAAATATTAGATGTTTCTGATTGGTGGTATTTTTTTATTTAGTGTCAAATTATAATTAAAGTTAGGACCCAATGTTTAAAAATTAAAAAATCTTGCATAAAAATTCACATTTCTGATTTCCATAGAAAAATATAAAGAAATGCAACACTAGGCACGCATTCCTGTGTGGCAACATTCCTCTGGAGTTGAAATGGGACGGATATTCTGATTTGCTTCAGACTTTTGTTTTACATGATTCCTATAGGCATTTTAGTTTCTAAAATCTAACATTTATGTTTGATTCCTAAATATGTTCAAGACTTAAGCTTTTTTTAGGACAGGTGTACTGGCTCATGCCTGTAATCCCAGCACTTTGGGAGGCTGAGGAGGGTGGATTATCTGAGGTCAGGAGTTCAAGACCAGCCTGAACAACATAGTGAAACCCTGTCTCTACTAAAAATACAAAAACTAGCCAGGCATGGTGCTGTGCACCCTTAGTCCCAGCTCTCTGGGAGGCTGAGGCAGGAAAATTGCTTGAGCCCAGAAAACAGAGGTTGTAGTGAGCCAAGATCCCACCACTGCACTCCAGCCTCGATGACAGAGTGAGATTCCTTCTCAATTAAAAAAAAAAAAAGACAGGCTTTTTTTTTTTAAAGTCATGCCCCATAAAATATCAGGTAAGGCATTTATATCCCAGAATTGAAAGAGCCTTGTCACTTAACTTATATATTATATAGTTAAATTCAGTTTCTGATACATGAGTAATATTGGGAATTTATAAAAGTGGTGACAATAGCATTTTATAATGATAAATGCTATATGATTTGATTTATGATCTTAGAAATAAGCCCTCTATGGTTTGAATTGTAGGTATAAAATATTACATTGATATTCTTATTCATTGGTAAAATGAGCCCCAAACAGTTTTTTTACCAACAATATTTAACATCAGGTATTCTTTAATTTCCACAGTGCAGTGTATAAACTTTTAAAGGAAAACACAGTTTTGGCATATAAACTTCAAGGGAAAACACAGTTTTGTTTTTGATGTTGCAACACAAGAAAAGATAAACAGAAAAAAAGGTGATATGAAAGAAAACCAACCCTAAAGCAAAAAGCACACACATAAAATCCTAGAATAGATGTTGATGTTAGCAATGACTCCATCCGTGGGTCATGTATGACTTAGGAAACATATTGGTCAGTGTCAGGTTATAGTGCAGCCTTGCATGAGCCTGAGGAGAGTCACTGACCCCACTATAGGGCAAATCCTAGAAGTGAAGCTGCAGAGTTTATAAACTTTACCTGATCTATTATTTTGAAAAACCATTCTTGCAGTGAACACTGAGGGATAGATTTTAAGAAATAATTTCTAAGACTCATTCTAATTTGAGGTTTAATATGATTTGGGAATTATTAGTTTACTGTGGATGTATAAATTATTCAAATGGACATGGTAGAACATTTGCATGTATATACAGAATATATATAAAAATACATATATTTATTATATATAATAAAATACAAATTCATTTTAGGATCATCTATAAGGAAAGATTTTCATTACTAATTCCCTTATCAATATGATGAGATTAGATAATACCTCATCCATAATTCAGAATAATGCATTATGTTCATAACATAACTTATGAGATACAGGGCTCTGCTTCTTTTTACAATATTAGCATCCCTTCTTACTCATTTTTCATTATTATGTAAAATGAACGCTTCTTTAAACTTAGTTTTACAACATATTATTCTGTATTCCCTTAAATAATAGCTTCATGATGATCATTTCCAGTTAAACACACTATGAAGGGGTTAATTCTCTATAGCATTTCTATACATCTTTCGACAGCTTTTGTTCCAGATTATCTTTTCAAATAGTCTGAAAAGAAGGAGATAGAATCTCCCTCCAGGGCAAATGGAAAATTTATTTCCTGACCAGTATAGTAAAGATTATATATATCTCTAGACAAAGTTTAGACAGTTTTGCTAACAGCTCCCCCATAGGATTGGGAGTTTCCTAAGCTTGGGGTCCCTCAGATGTGACA